ACACTGTGTTCCAGAAAGTGCAATAAAACTGGATATCTTTTAAAGCCCACCCAACGATTTCGACCCTACCTGCTTGGTTAAAGATACGATGTTGAAAGTTTAGCTAGTGACGTAACGTCAACAATTCGTGGGCCTTGGTTGCAAGTAAGCCATTTTGGACTGCGCCTCCCAGATTTCTTTGACTTATTTCACATTTCTATTTACAAAGGTGCGCGCTCGTTTAGTTGATCAGGTTTCGTCTTCTCTCAATATCTTTCATTTTGGCTGCGACATGAAACTACTGAATATTAATGCCTCGGGTCGGTGAATCAGAGGAGGATGAGATGAGTCTGTCATTTAGCACTCTTGCATTCTTTCCATTTCTATTCATCATTAACCTTTAGAAAGTAATAAATCTGAAGGGATCTGCAGCTTATTCTTCAAAATGCCCGATTCGTACCGGTATTAGAGGCGCATTAATTGCTGATGAAATTCTAACGAATAACGGTTTCACTATAGGAAAATGACTCGCGATTTGACCTTTCTGAATAACGATAGAATACTGGCAGTGAGACAGCCGGTCTTCATCACTTCACATTCCGCAACTAACAATTTTCTCCTGCCGTACACCTCCAACCATAGATTTAATAAAAGTCTGCACATAAAAAGTACTTTAACTTTGCCGGTTTCTGAGATTCTAAATTACACCAACAGGCAATTTGCTCCATTTTCCACCAAAATTATCACCAAATTAAAGATGACTGAAGTCTGACAAGCAAAGTCTTGTGGCCTAGCTGTTTGTTTTGATGCACGAATTCATGGCCGTCCACGGTCGAGCCCATAATACTCGACCGAGTCTCATTTTACGGCCGTTAAGAATGTTCTCGTTTTAATGTTGGCCATATTGAGTACCATTTCTTGAGTGTGAAAAAAATACTTAGCGTTTGGTGAAGTATTTGTTTATCATTACCGGTTGAAATTGTTGCACTTTGAAATGTGTGTCACGGGAAGGTAGGCACGTTTTGCTGTCGTAAGCTCGACTGAGGGCGCCGCGCCTGATAAATCACCTGGAAAGTTACTGCGCAACACCGGGGAGCAGATAAAGCCTTCACGTTGATCGTGGTGTCACCAACAGACTTTTTAAAAATTGTCTTGGAATATGCTGTGACTAAAAACACTTGTTGGTACCCGTTTTAAAGCTAGTCATCTCACGGCAAAGGGGTTATTGGTGAATTGGATCACAGCCAACGATACTAAAAAGAAAAAAAGGCCTAAAATAGGCAAGGCACTAAATCACTAGAGGAGGCCCGTCGTCTAGGGTTGTTTTCATACACTCAATTATTTCCAGGGCTCATTATTTTTCAGCAAGAAAGTTGAAGTCGCTGTCATTTTCGTCCTTTTCTTTGGAATGTCTGTCACTAACCTGGCGCCACTGCAGGCTAAAAACTATTGACTTTTGTCGCTCACGTGAAGAGAAATATGTCTGAAAAGCTGGTCAAAACCGTATTTTCAAATGATATGTTTGCCGTTTATCGACCCGCTGAACTTGACTTTTTAACCAACCTTTTTAACTTGTGTGAAAGTATGGTGGTGTTTGGAATGCGATTGCACGACATCATCAGGAACCCTATTCAATTCTGGATTCTTATAGCCTTCATTAATTTTAGACTCTAACCAATTCGCATTCGATTTCCGAAACGCCCATCGCACTTCTTTGTTTTACAGTCGAGTTAAGAAGTGACATCATTACGTTTTAAAATCACAATATATTCAGCACTAAATTTGTACGCCCTGCATGGTATTGGCGCCCAATGCGCTGCATCACTTTTACCCCTGCTCGTCTGACCCATAAACATTCCTGAAATCCAACTCAGTTCCCTAAGGAATGCAGCACGTCGGTCGCTGCCATCTCGGCCCTCACGGATACCAGTACACTTATTATACACTCCCAGAAGGAAGGGACTTATACACAGTTTGTTGAGGGCTATCCGTAAGTTACCCATTGCTGTTTTGTTTGACACAACAGTCCTCAATCCTGTCTTATGGTCTAGTACACATATAATCTTGCGGATTTTTTTTCAGTTTGATTGCGTTGTGAACTTTGAAAGTATAAATGCACAGTATAATTTCAGATCAATTCTCAAAATGAACGAGTCCAAAATGGAACAAACCGTCACTGAAGAATATTGATCTCGGCTTCAACCAGTGGTGAGAACCACGGAAATGAGAAATGAAATACTGTACAGGATCTAAAAGGCAAACATGGTAATTAGCCTACACATCAAAGCATTGGACACTAAAATAAATCTGAATTAATAAAAAACTGTTCACCGGTAATTACGACGGCTGGCCAAATACAGTGAGTTGGACGGCATTGCTGAGATATCTCCTGCACGACTCGTTATTGATACATGGGCCCAAACCCCGCCGGCTATAAATCAAGATGGCGTCTGATGGACCGAAGATGCTATTTTATGCCTCGTGTGACAGTTATACGGTGCATACTACAAATTCAACCCAAGCGAGGCTTTTCACTTAATGGCATTCGAAATTTTTAATTAAACATTTCGACAGTAAAATCTTGAACTAATAAAAAAGGATTGCTCGGTTGATATCACGGTGAGAATGAATGTAAATGGATGCCGTGGTTATCTCATTGTACCGGTATGCGAAACTTGCACAACCGAAAAGGAATTGAATCCGTTGCCGCTAACGATACCCACAAATTCACATGTCCAAGTTTTCAACCGAAGGGACCCGGGAAGTTTGCCTCCTTACAGTCAGTGAGTTTCAGTCCATCTTCCCGGCCTGGAGTCTCGGTCACGCGGAGTGATATCGCACCGAAACTTCATGTACTCAGACAGCCACAGTTTTCAGAGACCGTTTGTAAACTCGAGAACAGCGTTTTTGGCTATCGGCATACAGTCGCACACACCTTTTCCTGTGTGTTGTCATTTTGAAAAGATGTTATTTTGCGTTAGCCTGACAATTTGCAAGAACAGCCGATCGGAAATGCCGTGAAAATGTGCGCACGACATTAGCTCGATATTTGAAGAGATTTCGGTTTTAGAATCGCTGGTTAGAATGCGTACAGGTTTCTGTGGTAAAGTCCTTGCTATACGGAAGCTATTTTAAATCTCTAACACACACCAGTAAGTTACGTGATCAGCAGGCTCTGCAAGAGCCCCCCCCCCACCGATGAGGATTATTTTTTTTGTCAATTAGAGCGAAGATATTAAGTGTCGTAAATGGAGGTTTTTGTACGAACAGAGCCATTTCGCAGAGGAAATTGTTTCTGAGCAGCTATTCTGACTTACTTGTTTTGACCACCCTCCCCCCCAAAAAAGGGTCTGGATCCGGTCTTGTTAGAATTCAACTCAACTTTTCAAAAGCACAGGTCTAACTCCAATACGGGCGTTTCAGAATAGCGCCTCCAAGAGTTTGCAACGCGTTGGCCAATCACAATACGCAAAATCTGTCGACCCACGAGCACGTTTGGAAAAGGTCGAAAGATTTCACGCGTTGTGATTAGCCAACGTGTTGCAAACTCTTGGAGGCGCAACATTCGCTCTTTGCACAACCTTGACTCGTTAGGCTGCGTGCGCTTTCCTCCACTAGCCCATGGTCGTGTCCGGTTCGTAAGTGTGACGTCAGTTTAGTTTAAACCACGCCCAGTGCACATGCACTGCACATAGAGTTATCATGCATTGTGTGCCGTATACATGGAACTTTGGAACCGGAAGTTAACACGCAACTTCAGCGATCGTCCAATAGGAGCCTGCAAATCGTGGCGCGTCCATCTTTGTGGCGAAGGCACTTACGAACCGTGTAATATACGAAAATGACGCTGACTGGCTATTCAGGATGAAAAGACATAAACATAAAGTCGATCGTGCGTCCACGTATTCGCTTGCATGTCACGCACGCGTAAATCTGCGTCGGGCATACTGAACCATGGAACTGGAAGTTAACGTGCAACTTCTGCGCGTCCATCTTTGTGACGAAGTCACTTACGAACCGCATGTAGAGCCTCGCTCTGGCAGCTTGTATAATCGCATGGTATAAGAGCTGACGCAGCACGCGCAGATATACTGAGCAACATACTTGGGAATCACTGAACCGGCTTGTGTAAAAATCGATAATATCTGAACTGAATCTGCTTGCCCTGAAGAAGGTTCTCAGTTACCGAAAGCTCGGCAATCACATATTTCAGAGCACTGATTTGATATTATATTCTCGTCGATATTGTGTAAAGATCGAGACCGCGGCTCTGCATGCCTATGGCGGCAGCGTGTAAAGAACGAATAATACCTATTCTTCAGCGTGGTTTGTAGTTCAACTTTTGTTCTTCAACTATTAATCGATACCAAAATTAGAAATCAGAATTACTGTCAGACGTGCAGTTTTCATCTTGTGTCCGGCACTTCACGGAGGTTTCTCACAATTGCTACAATTTATTTCCAATTAGGAGCAAGGTGCACTCTGAAGACGTCACGTCAACCCGCTTTGCGCTGATCATTAATTTTGTGAACTGGACCACCACACCGGTGTGGTCTCGCACCCCGCCTGCCTGCAGCTAGCCAAACGCGAACGGCTGCCGTGCGCGATGCTTCACCAGAGGACATAAAAGTCACCACGCATTAAATCATGGTGCCGTATTTATCACGCGATGTCTTCTCATAAAACTTGGATCTGTTCTTTCATCACGGCCGGTGTCTACGGGGCTTGACCCTTCACACAGAGCACACAACAGCTGGGTCAGATGATTGTGGTTGAAAAAACACGAAGAAAAGAATATTTTTTGATCTCTTACCGAAGAGGGCGCCCTTGAAGCTTCTGGTGTTACGTCTCCTAGATGCCCTCAACACGATAAGTCCGTCCGTCAGCTTAGGCCTTTATGGGAAACAAAGAAGACATTTGCATAATTTTAAACAATTTAATGCCCCTTCGGGAAACCAGACCTCTTAACTAGTAGAGTCTATTTATGCGCAACTGACTTTGTTCCTCCCTTTAATCTGCAGGGATGAGAGAGACAGCCTTCTTGTACGCCATCTCCTCGGCCGGACTAACCCACGCCATTGCCAAGGCCTGCAGCCAAGGCATCATGGAGCGGTGCTCTTGCGACACCAGTTACTACTCTGAGGAGGACAACCGGGAAGCATGGAAGTGGGGCGGCTGTGGTGATAACCTCAAGTACAGTCAACGCTTCGTGGATCGGTTCCTCATGCCCAAGAAAGGCGGTCAGCCTCAGATCCGAGACGTGAGGGCCCAGGTGGACAGGCACAACACGCACTTGGGGATCAGGGTGAGTCCAAGATGAACTGTAGACAGTCCTTAGTTTTTTTGGACCTGCGTTTGATCCAGAAGCTTGCATTTAAAAGAGCAGATATCCAGTGAATAAGCTACTTCTGTTCCTGTTGTTCATTATACAGGTGGTGGAAGGGAGCGCGAGGAAAGTGTGTAAATGTCACGGGGTGTCGGGATCCTGCACGTCCGAGACGTGTTGGCACCAGCTGGGCCGACTGCAGGAGACAAGCAAACTCCTGAAGAACAAATACGACCGCGCGGTCAAGGTGGAGCTGGCCAATACGGCGCATGGCGAGTACGAACTGGTCAGGCACGTCAAGAAGAGACGCAAACCGTCCAGAGCCACTGTCCTCCCCGCGACCGTCCAGGGCGATTCAACCGACGGTGGAGCGAAACAGCCGGGACCAAGGAAAACCGACCTAGTGTACATTGACCGGTCGCCCAACTTCTGCGACGCCAGCCCGTACTCGCCGGGCACTCGGAGCCGGCAATGTGACAAGAACACCAACTGCGACAGTATCTGCTGCGGTAGAGGCTACAACATACGGAGCCTGCTAGTCACCAGGCGATGTGACTGCAAGTTCCGATGGTGCTGTGAGGTCATCTGCAATGAATGCACCACCAGGGAAGAGATCCAGCTCTGTAAATGACTGGACGCGAAAGATAAACTGCTCTTCTCCCCCGCATTTTGCCCAGAACTCCTCAGCTAATAATTGGATTTGCTTCAGGAACTTGCAGTGCTCTTGAAAATGCTGCCAAATGTTAGCCTGCATATCATCGCCGAGGTCCAATTTTTCCAGTAAAAAAGTATCTGACACTACCAGCCAGTAATGCACCTTGCAACTGCAATCGTAACAAGTGAGAGCGAAGCAAACACAGTGCATTCTGCACCTGCACTTGGACAAAACTGAGAAATTGCCCAAGTAAACGGCCTTCTCGACACTGGGCAGTAAAGGGGCCATATTTAGCTTGATCTCCGTTTTACTTTAGCGTCGCGTCCCCGGCAATTCAGACCAGTGGTGTTTTGGGGACGAACATTTGATAACAGTGACCCCACGATATAAAAGAACAACCATAATAATGGGGAAATAAAATCCTTAGAAAAGGCTTCCAATCAGTTGATCAGATATGTTTGTCTCGCTTTATCAAGAGATATTATGTAACTGGCCAGTGTCCTTTCTTTAGTTATACATACATTTCCTCTTCGTCTGTTGTCCGAGTTGTGCTCAGCGAAGACTTGCCTTCGTAAAAAGCATGCTCATAAAGTTAGTCTTATGTCAGAAACTTTGTGTATTTGCGATCGTGCGCCAGCCAATGCCACAGTAGGGCGCTATTGCAACCTAACGGACGGTGACGTCCTCCTCAATCTCTAACATCCTGGATGGAATAACGCCCTCTCTCGTTATTAATAAAACAGTCAGTGTTCAAGGTCAGGAGTTACGAACTATGCACGTGAGGACTTGACGAAGATTACATGTTGACAAGACTAAACTTCATGCGCTGATAACGATTATAACTGCGTGACTGTTGGTGTTCAAACATGAAATACAAAGTTCGTTTCATGTGCCTTTTGTGCTTGGTGTGTAGCATTTTATTTGACGTTACGTTTGAGGGCAAGTTGTTTCCATGTAATAATGTATGCGAGTTCGGATCCAGAACCAACCTTTTTTGAGGGAGTGCAAAAATGGGAAATCTTTATTGGGTCTGTTCTTTTGACGTTATACAGTCGTATTCGTCCTACAAGTGGCTGCTAAAACTATAGTAGGCCATCGGTAAAAATGGGTAATTCACAGAGTGTTAAAACTCCCAGGCTGCTACCAGAACACCAGATAATAATACACGTTCCACTGATGGAAAATACAACCCTATGGGATAAACTGTCCATATTGAACGAATTTGAGGTAAAATCGAAAACCAACCAAAAGGTGGTATTTCTGCAAACTTGGGCTGCCCGTACAAGTACAAACTTTGGATGGGGATATATTTGGGAGCTCTTTTACACTCTTTGAAGGGGAAGGGAAAAGAAATAGCCCCCTCGCCTGTCATTGTGTTAAAAAACGTCCACCACCCCCCCCTTTGGTGGGGACGGCCCCCCTTGATCCGCTAATGTATGCAAAAGCATTTGTTACCTGTGCGTTGTCCATGGATTAACAGCAAAGGAGTTTATTGCAGTGGGGGGGGGGCAACCCAAATGGAACGTGAATTCCTTTGCGCAACAGGTAAAAAAAATGGACGGCATGTCACAACACTCGTTATTCACAATGCCATCCTCCCCCGAAAGGAGAGTTCTTCGGACGCTGAACTTCCCTTGAAGGTTTCAAATAATAAACCGTCAGTCCCGTATCTGTAATTGTCTTTATTGTGCTATCAAAAACCAGTAACCAAAATATACAAGGCTTTAATATTCTCTAAGCTAACACACAAAATTATGTACTTGCTGAAGACGCTGATTTGTGTTCGGTAGAGTTTGTACATTATTTCGTAAATAAATAATTTAAACATGTAAATACAAACTTGAGTGATACGCCATTTTGTGTATATAACTGATATGTTTTTGTAATAACTGCCGCATCATTGTACATTTTCTGTAGCTGTACTCCCTACTTGCGTGAACTAAAAATCAAATAAAGCTTTCTGTTGAATGCATTTGGGTCCAATTTTGTCTGTTTTTTACATTACCATTCCAAAATACATTTAATGGCAATTACGGCACACTGTTATGTATACTACAAAATGTATCGGTGCTTGGTACGGCTTCCCAAGCATTTCTCTCAACCGTTTCCTCAATGTAAAACAAACCTTTGGAATAAAAA